CTTCCGATGGAAGAGAAGAAGAAATGTGCAAGAGATGTTGATGATATTGATGGCTATGGAAACGACACCGTATACTCTGAGAACCAAACACTCGATTGGAATGACAGATTGTATCTCAATGTGAAGCCTGAGAACAAGAGGAAGATGAAAGTGTGGCCTGAAAAGCCTACAAATTTTAGGTAAATATTTCAAGATTATTGATCTGTCAACAGTGACACTTTTATACACTATTTTTAACTTAGCTCAACCAAGTTAAAATTTTCATTCTCATTATTCTACTCATTTTTAATCATACATTTTTCAATAAAATAATATTTTTCATCATATCAATAATTTTTTCTTCTTTTTTAACCAGAGCATTCTCCATTAATTATTATTTCAAAATATATTCTTCCAAAATAATGTGGCTTAAACAGACCGACAAAAAGAAGGAAAAAAATGAAAAAAAAGGTGGTCCTTTGGCATTGTTAAGTACACTCGAGCACACCAAACTAGACTAGACTAGACATACAATAGTTCACAAATTTTTGAAGTTAAAATTACGTTACTAATCGAATAGTAATGTAAGAATTACTTTTTAAATAAGCAAGCTGATAATGCAAATTTGATAATAAACAATAACTTTTAATTCTTTGTGAGCATAAGCAAACATGCGTTAGGCACGGTTCAAAGTTACTTTAAAGACTTACTTTGTAGAAAACTAAATTCTATAAGGAAAAAAAAAAAAGAAAAAGAAAAAAGAATCATTAGAATTCATGTTAGTAAAATAAGTAATTTAAAAGTAAGAATCAATTTACAACCTTTTTTTACTAAAAATTGTGCCATCCTATCTCTTTTTAGTATAACTCTACAATTAAACCCTTGTGATAACTTTTGTCCTTTATTAGTTTAACTATTTTTAATTATATTTTAAAATTTTGTAGGCAAATTTTGCTAGATATTACAGCCAAATTAGAGAATGTTAATGAAATTGTGTTCAAGGCCATGGCAAAATCACTGGGTTTGGAAGAAGACTGTCTCTTAAAACAGTATGGAGAGAATCCAATAGCTCTTGCAAGATTCAACTTATATCCTCCATGCCCTACACCTGATCTTGTTCTTGCTGCCAAAGCACATGGAGATGCATCTGCAATGACTTATCTCTTGCAAGATAAAGAAGTTGAAGGTCTTCAAGCCCTTAAAGATGATAAATGGTACAAAGTTCGGATTGTTCCGAATGCTATTGTTGTTAACGTTGGCGACCAAGTTGAGGTAAATAAGTTTTTATGTTTTCACGTTAGCTTAAAAAAATCAGTATCGCTAATCAGACTTTCTACGACGTTCGAATGACAAAAATGTTTATTTTATTTTAATATTTAAATACACTTTCTTAATTTCATTGATTTAACAGCATAAGATTTTCTAATAATTCTTTAAGAAAAGTGGTCACCTAACGCTACTTTATAATATCACTTTTCAAGTGGTGGTAATTTTTTATTATTTATTTTGAATGATGATTGATGAAATTCATTGCAAGAAAACCTTTACTAAATTTAATAATGAAAAATTATTATCCGTGACGGAAACGTGTCATTTTTTTTAATTACCTTTACTATTTATAAAAGTGACTTCATGAACTTTATTTCAGCGTTTCAATCACTATCTCAATCATAAACGACATTATGAAAAATTGGGGGACCATAATTATTTTGAGATGTTTGTTTAATCGCGTTCATTTCAGTATATCAAACATATTAATTGTGTTCACTATTCACTCTTGTTTTCCAATATCATCAAACTCGATCGAATTGGCCGGTTCAACAAAAAAAAAATAGAATTAGTCGTAGGTAAAAAATGAAAAACTAAAATTCGCTCAAATAACCTAAGAACCAACCGTTTCACGTCAATTTTTTAGTTTTTTTTACTACTAATTTGACCCTGATTCGACCCTTTAATGATGCGTGCAGATAATGACTAATGGCATATTCAAGAGCCCAATTCATAGGGTTGCAACAAATCGAGAAAGAGAGAGGATGACAATTGCTGTTTTCTTCACTCCTGACGCAACCAGTGAAGTTAAACCAGCTGAAGGGCTTATTGATGAGAAAAATCCCAAATTATACAAAAGTATAATAGATTACACTGGGAATTATTTCCGATTATTTCAGCAAGGGAAGAGGCCCATTGATGCTCTCAAAATTTGATGCCGAAAGTAATTTAAGGTAAAAATTTATATCCGGCTTTCATTTTTTATGCGTCGAATTTGCACGATTTTTATGTAATAGTGCACCGATCTGGTCCATTATGTCAAGATAGTTAAAAATCATCTGGCAGTATTTTTTGTAATATGGCTAGAACTGTCGTGGAAGTTGGCGTCAAGATTAATGTGTTATTTTATTTTGCAGGCTTAAATCTGAGTTACTGCAGCTGAATATTTTACTTGGCATTGAGCAGCGGGATGCAACTTTATCATAATATAGATAGAATTTCGAAGCTATGGAATAATAAAGCTCAGATAATTTTAGTATTTGTTATGTATTTGGTGTTGGTGTGTTTGTAGCATGTAACATTTTACCGTGTGTTATCCAAATAGCAAATTAATAATATCCTATTTTCCGTTTAACTTTCGATTTTTTAAAGATGAATAAAATTTTGAATCAACATTAAACACGTCATCTAAGTTTAGGCGAAGATGTAAAAGTCGAGAGCTTGACATCTCTAATTTTCAAGGTGTCACAAAAATGTTTGTTTCGTTTGAAATAGTACAGTTCGCTAACAAGTAGTAAAATGAAATTTTTATTGTCCAAGACTCCAAGTATTGTTTCCATAGAAATTGTACCAGTTCAAGTTCAAAATTAACCTAGATTTTTTGATCAAGTAAAAGCTGGGCTCAGTTTGAGCCAAAAAAAAAAAAGCTTGAAACATATTTACTCGAGCTGAGCTCGAGCTTTAAGTTTCGGCTCGCGAGCTAGCTCGTTAACATCCCGACATGTCTTCCATTTGCAGCGGTTATTAAGATTTGTGTGCGAGACATGGTCAGCTAATTGATTTTCCGCTTCGCGACTTCCGTTTTGTATGAGCGCGGGCGCACTTTCTTCTCAACTCACTGACCACTACTCTACTATGGGTTAATGAACTCTTGAAAAATGCCTGTATAGAAATTCGAAGAAGAAGAAGAAGGCCTGGCTTTGGCTACCTCTGTTACCGCTAGAAGTAAGGTACGTCCATTATGAATCCGAGTACTAGGCCGATACGACATGCCTTGGTTGTGAAATGATTTGTGCTGTTGGAAGTGCAATCCAGGATGTTGCAAAATGTAACAACATAAGGTGTTCAATTCTAGTTTTTACTTAATTAGCCAATCTTGACTTTGGCTACTAATAAGGAGATAAGACCTTACAACTATATTGGATATGATCCTTTCTCTCCAATAAGTGGAGTGAAGGACTCCCGCCTCAATCGGCCGTTTGACTTATGGCATCATCGACTTGCTTTTCAATCTAAGCGATTTCATAACCAGAAAAGAAAAGGTTTGGAATCTCAATTGCCAAAATGAAAGATTGGAATATTTTGCTAAGTTTGAAAAGTTAGGGACTCCAGTTGCTATTCTTCCTAAAAACAATTATCTCAGCCTGAAAAATCCAATCTAAAGATACTTATTTTATTGATGGCAAAAGAATATACAAGCTATTACGAATTTTTCGTGTCTTCTCCCATGTCATCCACCACGTACCGGATGACGCGGGCAGATGAACCGAATCTATAGCCACATGGTGGACGAACTGGATTCATCCGCCTCACGATGGATGCTAGGCCCTGCACTCCACATCACTTTGTCACAACTCAAACAGATTGATCAAATATTGCTCACTGAAACTACGTTCGAAGTTTTGGAACCCAAAACGTGATTACCACTCTCGCTGCAACCGTTTCACTTCAACCTTGTATACTAGAAGATCTTTTATGGAAAGATCTCAATAATCAAATCTTTAAGACTGATTGATGGGACATAATAAATTACTATGTCAATGGGCATTAATTAAACAGCCCACCTATCAACTGGCAGATTGACACCTAAGGACATTCCACACTAGATTCAAAACCAAGTGCTCCACATCCAACGGTTCTTCTCTTATCTCTTCTCATTATAAACACATACACCTATACTATGAAAAGGGTCGGATCCAGGAAGAGAAAGGAAGGAGATTATATTTTCCTTATCTTTATACATACAGACATTTTGCATTGAGAGCCAGGTTCCAGTGATCACCACTGGACGTCTAAAATCCAATTTATCAACTTACTAACTTGATCGTCGGAGTGCTCGTGGCCGCTTCCACCCCTACTGGAAAAGACCACGAACAACTAACAGTGTGTTACCACGCGTAGGAAAGAGCTTACGTGGAAGTCGTATCCTATTGGCCACGTGTTTTGGTCACTTTTCGGGGTCAACGGATTGGCCGTATGTGGGAAATTCATTACTATAACCACAAGTATCCCTGTAAAGAAAAAGCTTACCAGAATATCCACTTGACCTCACCCTTGAAAAATGAATTATTCTTGAAAAAAGAACAAGTGGAAGAATTTTCACCAATTATCTCTTGAAAGAAAGTGTGCAAGACCAAAAACAATAAGTTCAAGTAATGAAGATGTGAATTCGAGGAGAATAAGGGAGGTATCTAAAGAAGAGATCCTCCGAAACACTGTTACCCACCAAAGGCCTTACCATTGCCATTGCAGGGATGGAAAAATTGCGACACGATTAACTGTTGAGATAGCACATATGGCTACCAACATGAGAAGCATTGCAGCCCAAAATGTGGTTATGCATGAACTCCTCATGCAAGCCCAAAATCAAATAGGCTTCCAAATGCCTCAGGGTACCCCACAGTCAGCCTACGACCAATGTCAGGCAAAAGTGGGGCAGAGCCACAGAACCCATTCAAGTCGGCAAAGAGAGGCTACAGTGGAAAGTGAAGTGAAGGTAGATGTCTCCCCCAACTACGCCTCCAGTGCCCTGTCGATAACGCTTGGATCGGAGAGGACAACTTCTCCCGTATTATGAAGAAGGGCCCCAGAGGTTCGTGAGCATGTTTGATCGGATCAGATGGATGCCTAGGGATAAGAATCAATCCACCTATCAAACAACCCGACCGCAAGAACAAGCACAAAGCTAAATAGCCCAGGTCTCTCCATCTAGGAATAGGCAAGAGAGGTGAAGACTGATGAACTAGGGAATCAAAGCGAGTTGTCCCAGTCATCGTCTCGTTACTTAGCAGATGAAAATGATTCTGATGGACCATGCCGGTCCTATAAGCTCGAGGACAATGACAACAACCTTCCTTTCTCCAAAGAATTTCGTAGTTTTCCCATGCCTCATAAATATAAAACACAGATAAGTCTCAGAGCCGCATCACAGGCTTTGAAGTGCAGAGCAACCAGAGTGTGGTATGGCAGGTTAACACTACTCGCCATCAGAAGCTTACTCGGCCTCAAAAAGGTATTTTTGAACCAATATATGTTTTAAAAATAGGTAGATACATCGATCCGCCAAGATATGATGCAAGTAGCACAAGAAACGCTGAAAAATTACCTATCTCATTTCACTGATGAAATAACTTATTGCGAACAAGTTATGGACAAAGAAGCCCTCTCGGCTATGAAAGGAGGATTGAACGTTATTTTGGAGAGATGTTTGAAGCAAAAATCCTATTACTTATGACGAGCTAGTAGAAATGATGAGAATCGAGATTGTCAATAAATAGATGATTGACCATCAAAACAGGTCAGCATAGGGACTTCTCCCTTCCTAAAGGCAGATGGGGAGAAGGCCTACGTCCCATTTGGTAAACCAACAATGGACTCAAGCTGGGCACACCATAGCTCCCACTTCGGGACGGTACTGACCACAAAGACTTTGAATGTTGTGCCTACGTTGGCTTATGAAAGCATTGGATCCGGTGGTAACGCGGGAATCGGAGTATCTAGGAGACCTTCCAACCCTAGAAATAGAGAAAGAGGTGAAGCACCTAATAATTGACCGTCTGAGGAGGTTCTCTATCGTACTTTCCACCGTTTCTATGTACATGATACAAGAGAATGCCAGGAGGCCTCCCGCTCCGCGAAAAAGAACAATCCCCAAGGAAAGGTGAGACAAGGCCAAACTCACCAAGGAAAGGTGAGACAAGGCGCCATTCACCTTGACATGCTATAAATGACGACTGGGATAGGCCTAGAGGTAGACAACGACAAAGGAGAGACCATCCCGTTGCAATTGAGAACATGCCCATTCGAAAGATCGACACGATTATTAGAGGACCACATGTAGGAAAAGAATCCCGAATGCACAAAAGAATTATACTTGGAAGGCTAAGGATCCGTCCTTGGCTAGCTATTTAGTGAATCATCATCAAGGGATGAGACCTGTAGAGGCCGTCACATTCACTCAAGAAGACGCGGCAAGCGTACACTATCCTCACTATGACGCATTAGTAGTAAGCGTTGTGGTGGCTCGAAACGGACTTAAGTGAATGCTTATAGACAACAACAGTTTTGTGAATATCTTGTTTGGCTCCGTTTATGATAAAATGATGGTAGATCAAGAACTCGCTTCTATGACAGCTTTCCTGTATGGATTCACTGGAGATAGTATTATTCTGAGAGGAAGAATCACCATGGATGTCGAAATGGGGACTCGATCTCCACTTCATGGAATTCTTGGTGGTTTACTAGTAATTTGCGTATCATGGAGTGTTAGGGAGACTAGTCTTAAAAGAGTTGTGGGCCGTAACATCCATCCATCATTTGTGCATGAAGTTTCCTACCGAGCATGGAATAGCTATCGTTCGAGTGATCCAAAAGAGTCAAGGGAATGTTACCTCAACTCTCTGAGGAAGGCTGAGCCCCGGGGTGTTAATATGGTATTTCTTGATACTGAAATGGTCGACGTCCCTGGAGAAGGGCAAACCCCTACACAGGGAAAAGATGTTGAGATGCCAGAAGTCCTTGAAAAGGTTGTTCCTGAAGAGGCGACGTTGGATGAATTGGATCCCCAAATCACCGAGTTGGAGTTACAAACCGCCCCAACGAAGGAGTTAGAGATTTTTTCTATGGACAATCAAGACACTACCAAAACCCTGAGGGTAGGAAGGGACTTGAAAGATGAAGCGAATGAGGAGATGAAGAACTTTCTGTGCAAAGAACTTTTATGTCTCCGCAAGGAAACATGAGGATATGATAGGAATGGACCCGAAAGTTAACTTCCACTGCTTAAGGGTCGATCCAAACCAAACCCTATACAGGCAGAAGAGAAGATCATTCAATGCGGAGATGTATGATGCCTTGAAAGAGGATGTTGAAAAGTTGATAAAAATGGTTTCATTAGGAAGGTCACCTATCCTAAGTGGATATTCAATCATGTGTTAGTAAAAAAAAACATAATGGTAAATGGAGAGTATGCATTAACTTCTCCAACC